AGGAAGGCCTCAAGAGGAAAAATAATTTGTCCAAAGCCGCCATGCTTGTAAATGACAGAATCAGGATGAGAATTCATGTCTCCCACATCCCTATTCAGGATGTTCTCTTGCAGGCCCAGGTGAAAGTTCAAAGTGTAACCCACACAAGAGGAAATGGGAGACCCCATGGTATCTAAGAAAAGACCACGGCTTTGGAGGCATCTGGGTCTGTTGCTACTAACTCTTTGACCTTGGATAAATCATTTAATTTTTTGAACATCAGTTTCCTTATGTATAAAAATAGGCATAATCGCATCTCCCTCGAAGAGTTACCATGAGAATTAAATTAAATGACATATAGAACATTACACTGGGAAAAGTGTTGAGAGCACAAGCTTGATTTTGAATCCTGACTATAATTTCTTGGTGGTATAGCTGAAGGGGAGTTACTTGACCTCTGAGCTAAGAACCTAGATTTCCCTACTTGTAAAATGAGGATAATAACTGTCCTTGCTTCACAGAATTAAAGGAGCATATGCAGATATGGCACTCAGCATGGAGCCTTCTGCTATTATAGACAATCATCCCCGTGTCTGGCGCACACCAAATATCCAAGGAACGTTAGTTTCCTTCTTTCTTTCACAGGCAAATACTGTAAACATGATAATGGGAACCACATTTTAACTATTAGAGAGAGAAAGAGAGAGAAAAGCATTTTCTGGGACTTTAGAACATTTTAGGCAACCACTGTTACTAATTACCAGCCTCGCTTCGTTTCTGGTGTCTGTGCCTCTCTCCGGCACTAACCTGTGAGCGGGTCCAGGGTGGGGTCATGTGTCTGCCTCTTTGCTTTCCCAAAACAGAGGACAGTATTGGACACCCAGTAGGTGATCAAAAACATTTGCTCACTCGCTGTCATAAATTGGCTCGTTAAGAAGAAAAAAAATGGTGGGGTAGAAATATAAAATAATAAAATTCTAGAGTACCTTCTGTATCAGGTAGTTCTGAGTATGTGGTGATGAGTTTAGTGCTTGCCACAAACCTTATGAGGTGTGTACTGTTATTATGTCCATTTTATGGAGGAAGAAACCAAGGCACAGAGAGGCTAAGAAACTTGCCGGAGGTTATGTAACCATCAGTAGTAGAACTGGGATTAGAATCCAGGCAGCTTGGCTATAGAGTTTAGTCTTCTATCAACTACCGCCCCTCACAATATGCCTCGAGCAGCGGTGAGGATTAAATGACTATAAAGTACACATAGCAGATGCCCACTATTAGATCTTTGCAAGTTCCACCTACTCATATAACTCAGGCCATCACAGATGTGTACTTGGCAATCTAGTAAAACCAGAGAGATTGCTTTTGTCAGATGTGTTTGCACTATAATAATAGAATTTCCTTTTTGAAAAAGCATTTTTGCTGACTAGTTGACTGAACTCCCCTTGTACCTTCTATATGCATCTCTGCACCCGTGACCCGCAAGGTGCGGCTTCTTTCTTTGCATCCACATCTGAGTCCCTGGCTGGTGGGACGAGCTACTTGAGAAAAGAGACCTGATCTGCCTCACTGACGCCTCCATTTCCTGTCGTGCCTAGGACAGTGCCTGGCACAGAACAAGCGTTCCATAAATAGTTGTGGAATCTTTGAACTAAATTAAGTCTTCACGGTGGAAAAACAAAAATGAAATAGTCCACGAAAAAGCAGAAAGTAATCTGTAACATCACAGTACCGATGGTTTATAAGATTTTATGCCTCTTTTTCATTGATAATAATACGTGTTCATGGTAGAAAAGTGAGAAAATATATATAAGCAGAGAAAAATGTTGAAATTGTCTGTTTCCATGATTTACATTGTAATTTATTCCATTTCTCCTGTTTGCTTTGTCTCTTCCCAATCCTAATCTTACATACGACTTGCACAGCAATGACCTATTTTCTGGCCATTTTTTCCCTTAACTAAATTTTATACAAGTTTTACTTTGTACCCACTTGTTTAATGGGGCATCTTTACTATTAACATTTATCATGAAAATTTGAGAAATCGAAAAGCTGGGAATAAAAAAACAGAAATAAAACTGAATCTCAACACTCAGAATTAATGTCTGGGTCTCTTTCTCTCTCTCTCTCTCTCTCTCTCCCTTCCCCTCTTATATACACACATACACAGTACATAACAAAATTGAAATTATATACATGGTTTTATATCTCATTTGTTTTTGAAACAGAACTCTTGCATTTGTTTAGTGAATATTTTCCTATGGTTTCCAGTGTTATTCCATTAGTTGGATGTTACCTTATATATTTTTAAAGTGCTGTAGGCTATATAGTGACAAGCAAACTCTTAAAAACTTTCAGTTCAAAGGATGATTCCTTTATGGGCAAATATTTTTTCTTTTCTAACAACTTTATTGAAATAAGGTTTGCATACCATTGCATTTGTTTAGTGAATATTTTCCTATGGTTTCCAGTGTTATTCCATTAGTTGGATGTTACCTTATATATTTTTAAAGTGCTGTAGGCTATATAGTGACAAGCAAACTCTTAAAAACTTTCAGTTCAAAGGATGATTCCTTTATGGGCAAATATTTTTTCTTTTATAACAACTTTATTGAAATAAGATTTACATACCATTATGTTCACCCCTTAGTAAATTCGATGACTTTTAGTAAATTTATTCTATATAGTGATAGGCAAACTCTTAAAAACTTAAGTTTAAAAGATGATTCCTTTATGGGCAAATATATTTTCTTTTCTAACAACTTTATTGAAATAAGATTTGCATACCATTATGTTCACCCCTTAGTAAATTCCATGACTTTTAGTAAATTTATGAAGTTGTGTAACCATTACCACAATTCAATTTTCAAATATTTCCATCTCCCTTAATGGGAAATTTTAAGCACTTTACATAGGCTTAATAGGAGAGAGATCTGGAGACTGGGACCAACTTTCTGCTGATCCAAACCCCACACGGGTAGTCATCTCTTCTCCCCAGCAAAGTAGGGCACCGTGTGCCGAGACTGGGAGTCAGGATGGCTGTCTCCTCTCTTCCTACATCAGCCTGGGTTCCCATCAAGGAGACAGAACTTCCCATGCCCTGACTTGTCAGATAGTTTTAATTTTTGCATGCGGCATGCGTTTCTTTTCCCTCTCCTCTTTCTTATCCCTAACCAGTTCCCTCCCCCATCCACCGAGGCTGAGACAGTTTGCAGCAGCTCATCTATCAGGCATCTCTGAGCATCTTATCATTTAGATACCAACTCCATTTTTTCCACTCTTGCCTCCTTGCAGTCGGTCTTCGCCCTGCGACCAGAGGGATCCTGGTGCAAACCTAATCAGAGCAGATCACTTCCCTGCTCAAAGTCCTCCCATGGCTCCCTATTCTTCCTAGCACACTGGTCTCACTGGTCCTAGAATATGCTACACTTGTTTCCACCCCAGGGCCTTTGCACTTGCTGTCTCCTCTTTCTCATTTCCTTACTTCCTCATTTCATATGGTCTCTGTTCAAATGTCACCTCCTTGCAGAGGCCTTTCCTGATTGCTTTATTTTAAAACACCCCTGCTCCCCTCCTCCCATCATTCCCAATCCCTTTCTTTACCTTGCTTGCTGTATTCCTCATTTTAGCATGACTTGCAGTTACATTTTAAGCTCAAACATTCATCGAATGAATTAATGGTTAACTAACCCACAATTTATTTTGACATCCCCATAAAAAGTATGATCTAGAGGACCTGAATATGTGATGAAGTGTGTAAGAAGAAAGCCGGGAACCTTTGTTGAAGGGAGGTAGTCTCTAGTGTCTCACTGTCTGGCTTCAAATTCACCACCTATTAGCTATTTTCATCTGTAATGAGGGGCTATTTATAATGCTTACTTCTGGGGCAATTGTGAAGACTAAAGACCTTAAGGCATGTAAAGAACTGCATGTAAAACTTGTTTTAAGTTTGCTGTTATTTTCTTCACTGGCATCATCATATCATCATCATCATCATCACCATCACTACCACCATCACCACTACCATCATCTTCATCATCATTACTCTACTTGTTTAATTAGGGACCTGGAATGTTAACTTCTGGGGCAATTGTGAAGACTAAAGACCTTAAGGCATGTAAAGAACTGCATGTAAAACTTGTTTTAAGTTTGCTGTTATTTTCTTCACTGGCATCATCATATCATCATCATCATCATCACCATCACTACCACCATCACCACCACCATCATCATCATCATCATCACTCTACTTGTTTAATTAGGGACCTAGAATATTGACAATACCTCATGAGAAGCTGCTGCAGCATTGTCCAGGAGATTGTTAGAAATGCAGTTCCTCAGAACCTGGGCAGGACTTCTGGAATAAGAAACTCTGGGGTGGGGCCTGGCAAGCTGTGTTTCATCAAGCAAGCATGATGCGTGCTTAAGTTTGAAAACCACTGAATGAAGTGGAAAACTGGTACACACAGGCTGGAGTCAGGCTTGCAGATGTTCTTGCTTGGCCTGTATGTTGGTAAAAAATTTTGAAATTAGGTGTCAGCATTTAAAATTTTGGAGATTTTACATAAAATGTCAGGTTTCTTCCATTGGCAGGAGTGGAGTAGAAGCTGCCCCTTGAGACAGAGTGAATGTTTTCCCATTTGCTCCATCCCATTCCATCCCGCCCCACTCTCTGTTGTATTATTCCTGGCAGTCTTTGCTCATTCCCTTTACCTGTCTTAACCCTGTGTAACACCTGTAACAGAATAGTTTATCAATGAAGGGTGTTAGATGTCATTCGATAGAAGCCCCACCTTGTACAAATGAGAGACCAAACCCAAACAGAGTGCAAGGTGATAGGACTCTCAGACCTGCTTTCTTGAGGGTACTGAGGAAAAGGGATGAGGCAAAGGGATTGGCTGATAGAATTAGTGTCTCCCAGATCCCTTTGTCCTGCCAGCTCAGTCTAGGACTCTAATGTTAAGCTACTAAGATGCTTTCAAGGATGAGACTCTGGATGATACAGACTATTTCCCTTCTCCTAGGGGTTTGGGTGTGAGAAAAGATCTGGTGAGCTGCTGGAGAGGGTCTGTTAATTTCCTCCGCTCTCAACCTGATGAAAACACTGGATGGGAGAAGACGGATGGGGAGGGGGCTGTGCCAGAGAGAGCCCTGGACTTGTACAGGGGCCCGGTCTGGACATCAGGCTTTGTTGTGCCAAGTGGGCATCCCTTAGCACCATCAGAGAGAAAACTGGAATGAACAAAGCCACAGGGGCCAGTGGCTAAAGTCATCACTGCCTCAGGTAAGTTGGATTAACCCAGAGCAACTAGAGGTTATTTACTTCTCCTAGCAGAGGAGGAGGAGGCGATGTGGGGGGCAGGGGGGGGGAGCCATGCAAAGTCAGAAGTGATTTTCAGGCCTCCGGGGGAACCCCTTTCTGCAGAGTCAGGACGGCCTTGCGGGCTGAGCCCTACCTGCACAGGGACACGGTTTTGAGCCTTCTCCAGTGTTCCCTTTGCCTGCCCCACATGTCAACTCTCTTCTCAAGCTGGCCTTTTTAGAGCACGCTGACCCCTGACTGTTTTAGAGACTCCCCTTCCAGGCATTCCTTTACTTTTTATCTTGTAGATCAACCCCGCTCCCGCAGGAATGTTCTTTCTCCCTCAGAAGTGACCCCAAACCCTACCTTTACTCCCCTCGTCATTTAACCCAAAGCCAAAGCCGGCTTCCTTCAGTTTCTTCTGCATTCTCTAACTGGAAAATGTCAGACTTGCTCCCTCTCTGCTCCCTGTCTCGTCCCAGCCCCAGGGGCTGCCCTTATGTAGACCACTCCGCTGTCTTCCACTTGTCCGCACCCATGAGGGGCAAGGATCCTACAGTGGAAGGGACCGCCGATTTAGGCATCCGAGAGGGAGAGAAAGGCCAGGTCTCTGGGGTTCCAAGGGAAAGGAAGGGAAAGGAAGGGGTGAATGTGTGTCAGAGGAAGAGAGGAAGTGTTTGTTTGGGGGTCGAAAGCGTTAAGGGTGGAATTTATGAGGAATGGTGATTTAACCTAAAACAGTGATTTCAAACTTTTTTGACCCACAGTAAGAAACACATTTTACTGATACTGGGAAAACTGGAAAGCCACCTGTAAAAGAATGAAACTAGACTGTTGTCCATCACCACACACCAAAAGTAACTCAAAATGGATTAAGGACCTGAATATAAGACCTGAAACAATAAAATGCATAGAAGAAAACATAGGAACTAAACTCAAGAACCTTGGGCTTAAAGAGGATTTTACTAATTTGACTTCAAAGGCAAGGGAAGTAAAAGCAGAAATAAATGAATGGGACTACATCAAACTAAAAAGCTTCTGCTCAGCAAAAGAAACCATCAACAAGGTAAAGAGACAACCATCTGAATGGGAGAAGATATTTGCAAGCAACACTTCGGAAAAGGGACTAATATCCAAAACATACAAAGAACTCATATGACTCAATAACAACAAAAAAACAAACGATCCAATCAAAAAATGGGCAGAGGACCTGAACAGACATTTCTCCCTTGAGGCCAACAAATATATGAAAAGATGCTCAATATCACTAGCTATTAGGGAAATGCAAATCAAAACCACAATGAGATACCATTTAACACCTGTTAGCATGGCTATAATCAACAGGACAAGTAATAACAAATGTTGGAGAGGATGCGGAGAAATAGGAATCCTTATACACTGCTGATGGGACTGCAAATTGGTACAGCCACGATGGAAAACAGTATGGAGGTTCCTCAAAAAACTAAGAATTGATCTACCATATGATGCAGCAATCCCTCTACTGGGCATTTACCCCAAAGACTTGAGAACT